AAAAAAAAAAGAAATGCATAACTGATCTTCAGTTTAGTAGTTTAACTTGTAAAAATTTTTCACAAAGGTTTCTCTTTCAAGATATACATAGAAGAAAGTTAAGACAAATATAATTAGTTCAGAGGACCACATAACGTTAGTTCTGATCAAACTCTGTGGTTATTCTGTATTTGCTTCTGAAGGCAGTATCAACCCAGAAAGATTTATTTAACAAAGAAGTACATTATTGGCTATTCTCTTACCTTAAAATTTAGCATAAAGGATGAATTTATCTATCCAGGTATCAACAGAAGTAATTAGAAGAAAATATAAACTTTCTGTGTAATAATACACTAACTGAAAAATCTTAAAATTTTTCAGAGTAAGAACAAACCTGGAGACTTGATTGGGCTCAATTCTCCCACACTAGTTAAAATAAACATACCTTTAAAAATTGTGCATGGTTTGTTTTTTAGGTTCTGCAATTTCAGCACTTAAAAATCCGTTTCTGCCTATCATCTTAGGATATATTGCCATTTTTGTTATAGGCATATACTTTAAAGGGTCCTGAAATCCAATTATAATCATAATCCAAATATAATTATTAATTAGCCTCATATTTCTAATTATTAATTAAAACCATTAAACATATATTAAATAATTTTTTAAAAACTTAGCTAACTACAATTACTGAATTTTAGAAAGGGCCTCAGAAATTCACTAGTCCAGCTCAACACTGTAGATGGAGAGAATAAGAGGAGGTTAAAAAAACCTGCAAGTTAATGGCCAGAGTACTACTAGAATACAGATCTCCTGACTCTAATATTGAAGTCCAATGTCTTCTCTTCCACCTTGCCACTTGCCCCAATTGCATGTACTGTCATAAGAAATCATAGCTCAATTTAACCCTATGCCTATCTTGATAAACTTGGAATCTTACCCTGGAATTCCCTTCTTGGGCACTGCTACATATAGTTTGAGGAATTTTGGCAAATACAGCTTCAGAAGCCCTCACAACTTTTCTGTTTCTGGCAGAGTGTCCCAGAAGTTTTAATGCATATTAAATTATTTAAAGCTCAAAATTACACTAAGACTTCTGGGATACCTGTATTTAGCTTAGAGCTGCAGTTTTCAAACTTGCTGGTCCTAGGACTTGTTTTCATTCTTAAAAATTATTAAAGACCCTAAAGAGTTTTTGTTTATGTGGATTGTATCTGTGGCTTATTTATCATATTAAAACTTAACAAAGAAACTTAAAATATTGACTAATTCATTTAAATACTAAAAATAATAACCACTAATGACAACACAGAACACCCATTTTTAATAAAAATATTTTAAAAAATAAAGGTTAGTGAGAATAGTACTGTGATTCTCTTTGACATCTGGCTTAATAGCAACCAGGTGGATTCTATTTGCTTCTTTATTCAATCATTCTCTCCTTTTGTTCTTGCAGCTCTGGGGATCTAAACCAGCATATACTGGGTGGCACTCTACAATCAAATGACACCCCTTGCCCTTGCTTCTCATTTCAATATGTTGCTATGTGTTGTTTTGATCAGAGGATAAGAAGAAAATCTGGTCTCACAAAGGGATTATTGTGGTTCCTCCCAATGAAAGTTCTTAGGGATCCTTTTGAGAACTGCTGATTTATATAGCATGATTCCTATACATTTTGGGGGGCACTGGGGATTGAACCCACTCTTGGCTACATTCACAGCCCTTTATAATTTTTCAATCTTGAGACAGTTTCCCTAAGTTGCTTGGAGCCTTGCTAAATTGCTGAGGCTTGCCTTGAACTTTCAATCCTCCTGTCTCAGTCTCCTGAGTAGCTGAGATTAACTGTCTGCTGCAATAACTGCACAGAAGTTTTGTTCCCTTCTTTTAGAACTTCTCTTTCTTCTTTTCAACAAAGCAAAAATAAGAATAAAGAAAGAGAAAATAAATTATGCAAGGAAGCATAAGGCTAATACTTAAAAATTCCCCAATTTTTTTCTCTTGCCTTTCCTCTCCCAGCTGCCCCATAATCATATTGTTCTTTCCAGTCTGAAGGAAGTAACTTTTTACAGTTTAGGCTCAAGTAAGATTGTAAAATAGCCTCCTTGTTAAAAGGAAGAGTTTTCTTAGCAAAACCACAATAATGGCTGTAGAACCCACCTGCCTTAAATTGCAACCTATTTTTTTTTTTTAAACAGTGCACATAGGACATTTTGAACACAAAATATTTTAAAACGGACAATTCTGAATAAACTTTAAACATTGTTTATAAAATATATTTTTGTTTAAAATATAGTGAAACTGACTTTGTACATTCTTTTTAAAGATAAAAAAGTTAAAATTATTTACATAAAACATTGATTTTTTCCAAATACTGGGAACTATGAAACTACGATAGTTGAAACCTGCAATGACTTTCTAGTTATTCAGCAGCATCTCAGGTTCCAAAAATGTAATCCATGGAGAAATAGCCTCAATTCTTACCATCCACAAAATGGATCCAGACAACTGTTCAAACTGATGGGACCCACTCCATCGAGATTTCACTGTGGCTAGACCGAAATCACCTATTTTTACCGTGAGGTCTTCATGAAGAAATATATCTGAGGTGTAGTAAGTAAAGGAAAACAATAGATCTCAATTCTCCTATTAGAGCAAACATTATGAAAATTTTAGGTAAGAGATCTAGTTTCTATACTTCTGTGATATGATAGTCTTTAATAAAGTACAGTACTTCATATTTCCTAAAGTTGATTAAAAAGGTTTTAAACAATAATTAGTTGTATTTAACCTAAGTAACCTATTTTTAAAATTTTTGGGGTTTAAAATGTACAAGGATGAGGTGATGCTTTCTTAAAGCCTTCGGGAGCTCTAGAAACTTTCCCATTTGATTTTGATCATGTAGGCCCAGATATACTTTAGCACTTCTGGGGAATCTATAAAGGCTCTTTACTGGAATAAAGATGCCAGCAGGCAGGGTCTGAGACTGGGCTTACGGAAAAAGAATTTTTTTTCTCATCTCACTGCTATGTAATTTAGAGCCTTCCATTAGATCTCAACTACTCCTGAACAAGGGCAGAGGGGTAAAAAAAAAACTAGTACATAGCTATAAACTTATCTGTTTTATAGTGTGGATAGAATGTAAGCAAGCAATAAAAAAAGTACTACTATTATGAAGACTTTAGATAGATTTTCTTATAGTGCTCAATCATTCAGAAACCAAAAGCAGGCTATTATATCCTTCTCTACTATACTCTCATGCAAGCTGATTTATTAATATTCTTTACAGTATACTGAATTTAGCATGAAAACTGTTTTTACATAATGTGAAGACAAAATGCAGAAGAAAAAGTCAGGATGTTTTCAAACTTCGCGGACAAATTTCAGGAAGGATACTATTACTCTTGAGGTCTCTGTGGATGATTGACTTGGCGTGTAAGTAACTGAAAAACAAAACATCATTTAAACCTGAGTAAGGCTAAAGGACTCTGGCCTCAGAATCTACAGAACATACTTAGGGGTATAAATATTTATTTAGAATCACGATACAATTAAAATCTGTACATTGTGATAACTTCTTTATACATAAATTAGTTGACTATAAATGAATTTAGGATTTTAGAAACATATCACTATTATTTACAGACCAAATCTTGTTTATATTTAAAGACTTCACTTTATCTTTTACTAGTTACAAATACAAACCTTTCAACCCTGTGAAGCCTATTTATTAATTTCCTATAAATACACTTTGACATTCAATGCTTCCCACCTGTACCCATCTCTCCAAATCAGCTTTCTTTTATCACATATTTAAACTTGTCCTTTAAGATGGAACACAAATTCTAACTCCAAAGTGAAGCTTTCCTATGATTAATCCAACTGAAAGTGATCTTTCATTGTTCAATTTATTTAGTAATTATTTTAATAGCTGGATTTATTTATTTTTTTAATGTGCCTATGTTTGCTTTCTATTTAGAATGTAAACTCCACCATAATGTAAAAGTTTGGTAAATTACAACTATTTTTAAAGGTGGTATGATATATTCTTAAAGGACCTTACTGAAACTATATGAAAGTTGGGTGTGGTGGTTCATGCCTGTATTCCAGTGAATGGACCTTACTGAAACTAGTGAGGAGCAGACTTCCTCTATAATGACCACAGTGGATCTATTTTAAAACTAACTTAAAGTTTAAATCATCTATGGTACCGCCACAAATTGCTTTAGTTGTGTTCATTGAGGGAAAGTGCTTTGATTAATTTATTTCCATTTATCTACACTGCCTAATATAAGACCTGGCATGTATGTTAAATATTCAATATATCTGTTGAATCAACTATAAATAGGATATATACATAAACTCCACTCAAATTTAATTCTGAAAAAAACAGATGAGACTTCTGAAATCTAACAATGACCATTAAGAAATAAGTTCTGCTTTAAAATAAAAAATTAGGGGCTGGGGATGTGGCTCAAGCAGTAGCGCGCTCACCTGGCATGYGTGTGGCCCGGGTTCATCCTAAGCACCACATACCAACAAAGATGTTGTGTCCGCCGAGAACTAAAAAATATTAAAAATTCTCTCTCTCTCTCTCTGTCCTCTCTCACTCTCTCTTTAAAAAAAATTTATAAATAAAATAAAATAAAATAAAAAATTAAAATCCAAATAATATGATCAAAATCATGTAATGGACACCTAAAAATAGAAGACTTCCAAATAATTGAGACTCTTCATGTTTTCTGGTCTTTATTTAAAACTTCCTCATTCTCCCAGTCATCAGGATTTTAAAACTAAGTTTTTGAACAAAATTTTCATTTTAAATTACTATTTATTCAAAGTAATTCTTTCTCCTCCAATTACTTCTAATCTCACACTATTTCTATTGTTTACAGCATATACCACAATATAAAACTTATCTTGTTTTGTAGGGTGAGTGTTGTTCTGCTACACCATACTGTCACTTTTCCATTGAAAGAAAATCTGATGTCAATTATTGGTACCATCTGCTTGAAAAGTTCTGTAGTAACATGGAAAGCTAAAAACAGATGGAAATAAATGTTTTCTAATCAAAAGCTTTTTCAAGATGGGGAGAACCTGACTCCATGAGAAAGAAAGGGGGTAAATGATGATGTTGTTGGTGGTGGAGCTAGGTCAAAGAGCCCTAGGGTCTAGTGTGCTGCAAAGGTGTTGGTCTTTGAAAGTGGTTCCTTCTCCTGGGAGATGAAACAAACAAAACCAATGGGAGATACATACAAAAATGGAGGCATGATGAAGTTAAAAGGAGTGCAGATAAAGATGCTTTTTATTTTGGAGGGCAGTAGAAGGAATTGAACCCAGAACCTTGTGCATGCTAGGCAGGTACTCTACCACTCTGCTACACCCCCAGCCTGATAAAGGTGTCCCTTTCAATGCAAAACAATAGAACTAGAATAAAAGAGAAATGTAAGTGAAGAGCAGAGGAGAAAAAATTTCTGTCCAGGAATTTAACAGATAATTAACAAAATATAAATGTGATTGTTGAACTAGTGGTTATTGCCAGTAGAAGCTGGACAGCATAAAGTATTAAAGACCAAAGTTGCAAATGGCTGCAATTTGAAATAGCATCACCTTATACCCCATCACCTTATATCCCCTGCTTTCCTAATTTTTATCTCATGTAATAATTTTCTTTCTATAATATTTCTGCAACTAAAGTGACAATAAAGTCCAGGTCTGTATAATGGAAGGCTGGAAGGAAAAGAAGCTATTTCCCCAACTAGAAAAAACGGGATGCACATCATACCCCAACCCTATAAAATAAAAAGTTTCACATTAATTGTATCATAAATAATTCTATATAGGTTGACACTAAAACAATTTCCTAGGCAATGACCCATTATAATGGAAGATGCCAAAAACAAATAAATAAACAACCACATAATCAGTTGGGAGACAGGTAGGAAAGGGAACAAGAATAAACTGACTTTGGCTACAGAAGTCTATGCATTATTTAGGATAATTCCACTAGCCCTCTCTTTGAACTTTTTAAGACATTAAGGAGAATGTTACAGGTTTACAAATGTTATGGGTTTTCAAAAATACTAGGAAAGACAAACATGGTATCAACTAAATATCACATTCTCTTGACAGAATTCTCTTAGGAAATCTCTTATCTGGAAGAAAAAATGTCTACCAATAGAATCATTATTCTTAGATCTGCAAAATTATCTAGTAAAATTTGTTTTCTGTATATTCCTTTTAAGTTCTTACATAAAATTAAGTTTTTCAACATTCTTTTCAGAGCACAAGATGATGCCTCAAATTAAGTAAGCATTTCAAATTTGATCTAACACAAACTAGAGTGAGATTCCCATCTTCATCTGTCCCTTGTGGTGAGCATAAAAAATTTAAGTGAGCCATTGTCACTCAATGGACTCTTAGGTTTAATTACAACACTAGAATTATCTTTTTAAACTGCTCCTATAAAATCCTTCCTCCTTGGGCTGGGGCTGTGACTCAGTGGCAGAGCACTTACCTCACACATGTGAGGCGCTGGGGTTTGATCCTCAGCACCAAATAAAAATAAACAAAAACAGAGATATTGTGTCCATGTATAACTAAAAAATATTAATAATTAAAAAATGCTTCCTCCTCCTACTTTTGCATACTTCTGTTCTTTACACCTGGATGAAATTTTATATTTTGTAGATATGGCCTTAAAACCCCACATTAAAATTTTAGTTTTCACTAAAATAGGTTTTAAAAGATTGGCATTCTAATGATGTCCTCATCTAGGTACTGCTAAATATACTCATCACATTCACAAGAGAGGAATAAAGACAGAAATCTTCCAACTTGCTACTTTCAGGTATGATTGTTTATCCAGTTATGAATCTAGTTAAGTCCTGCCATTTGTGTTACATCTCTTGGTTTTATCTTTAAGAAGAATATGAAAGTTGGGTGTGGTGGATCATGCTTGTATTCCAGTGAATGGAGGGGGCTAAGGCAGGAGGATCACAAGTCTGAGGCCAGCCTTGGCAACTTAGTGAATCTTTGTTTCAAAATAAAAAATGAAAAGGGAAGGGGATGTAGCTAGCTCAGTGGTGGAGCATTTCTGGGTTCAACACTTAGTACCAAAGGAAAATCAACAAAACCAAACAAAGTCAAACCAAACCAAACCAAACCAACAACCAAAACCAAAACCAAACAACTCTACTCCCCAGAAAAAAAACCAGGAGCAATATTATTCAAATACTTTGCTGAAATTCAAATACCATCTGGCTGATTTATCAGTCTCATCTATTTGTGAAAGCTTCTAGGCTCATGTTAATTGGCTGCTATTTTCTACTATTTTTAAAACTTCAGACCTGGACTAAGCAGACACTTGCATTTTGGCCTTTTTTCACCAAATTCTACACAAACACACAGAGGTTCATCAAACTTCAGGACAGCAAGCTGACTCCCTCTAACACCCTAGCTGCCCTTGGAAAATTTAGAAGCTGTCTCAACTGGTAGATGCGACAGTGGTAACAGTGTCATATAGTCTTTCTTCTACTTTGATGTTTTTTGGTTCCCCTGAAAATCATGATGTAGAAAGCGAGCAAGATGGAAGGGAATGACATTCTGCTACTTCTCCATAGTCAGCAATCATTTATCACTTTAAAAATAATTAAAATCTCCAATAGGTAGTTTCCAGATTTTTCAGCTGTGGTTTATAGAACTTAAATTCCTTATCTCACTTTATTTTTACCTTCTTTCACTTAAAAAAATAAAACTTATTGAGGTATAATTATATAAGACAGTGATTCAATTTTAAATGTCTAATTAAACGAGTTCCAACTAATTTATACCATCATGTAATGACCTGTCATAATCAATATAAAGAATATCTACCACCCCAAAAAGTTTCTTCAACTATTTTTGCAATTAATAATACCCCCAGATGTCCATTGTTAATTCTTTTTGTCACTATGGATTATTTTCATCTTTATGAATTTTGTATAAAAAGAATTATATGGTTTCTTTTGCTTAGCATAATGATTTTGAGATCAACCTGATGGTTGCCCTAAGTATTACGGGGTATGAATATACCACAGCTTATACCACATAATATACCACATTTAACTGTTGGATAGGTACCATTTGGACATTTTGTTTTTTAGTAATTAAGAATAAAATACTGTAAACATACATGTATAAATCTTTGTTGTTGTTTTTTATTTCTTTTTGGTTAGTTAGGTAAGATTAGAATTGTCCATTTGTTAAGTTTAAAAGAAACTATCAATTTGTTTCCCCAAATGGTTGTCTCATTTGAAATCCTTATATGAAAGCTCCAAGTTGCTCTTCATCCTTGCCAACACCTAGCGTTCTGATTACAGGCATTCTGAATGGTGTAGTGCTATAGCACTGTAGTTTTAATTTGCTTTTTCCTAATGTCTAACTATGTTAAAATTTTAGGGGG